GTTAACAGAACAGGTATATAGACAAATAATACCGCCGTGACATTATCCCCTACAACTCCGATATTGTACTTCAGAAGTTACATGAGGCCACAGTGCCTCTCCCTCTACCAACTGTATCACTATTCGATAATAACACTGAGGTAACAGTTCCACTTATGATTTCTGCACTGAAAAGCCAAAGTCAAGAACTAAAACAGGATGCACTAGATTGATTGTCCTGTTTTCGCTATCGATTTAAGCTGGTTCTGCAAGGACAATTGGCACAAGAACAATCTGCAGCTCTGGCTATAGAGTACTTAGAACAAACACGTGTTGCAGAGGAGGCACGGAAAGCCAGACATAGGGCTTAGAGCTGTAGGCAAATTCAAAAGGGTGGAGTACTTTATGCATCTGAAGCAAGAGAAATGGTTAAGAGATGGGAAGATTTAGAAGTAGAAATAGCAGAAAAATAGTTACAGTAGACAAGAAATGCAAAAAATTGAGTAGAAAGAGCTCAGCAGAAGCCATTACTTGATGAGATGAAAGCTTAAGTTAAAAGAAGAAGAGTATTCAGGCTTATAAAAAGAAAACTTCTAAGTTGATGGTTGCAGGTATTAAGAAACAAGCAAGAAAATAGAAAATAAATGTATAATAGAATAGTAAAATTATTAATTTTTAATACTACTAATAAATATTCATAAAAGCCACAAAAGGATATGATACTACAAATAGATATCAAGCCACAATCTTCCATTGAGCTACAGTTCTATGCTGAGCCACAATCTTATATTGAGCTGCAAACTTATGTTGAGTTGTCAGGCACTCAATATGAGTGCCACTGAAAACTGAGCCCGCAAATTTTCACCAGCTGCAGCACCCTAGCTACAACCTTAGTACAATTACTTGTCCTGAGGTTATATCATAACTAAGTATTATAACTCCTAATTGCTTACTGGCTTGCAACCTGGGCACTCTCAAGAGAGTGCCTGCTAGCCCAACGTGACTTGCCAGCTTAATATAACTTGTGGCTTAATATAACTTTTTAGTAGCTTTACTCAACTTTTTTGTAGTTCAATATTACTTTTTATGTCTTCCTATAACTTTAAAGTACCAAGAAAATTTATAACTATAAATAACTTTGCAGTTTCAAATAACTAAATACTGTGACTAGTAGATAAATGTAATTTTTAGAGTTCAATATAATATTATAGTATAAGGTAACTAGACAGCTGAATATAGCCTTGTAGTTTAATATTACTTTGAAGCTTAATAGAACTCTAGATAAATTTATATATATAGTAGGCAAACTATTTTAACTTATAAAAAGAAAATGTTAAAGCTTATAATTCTTAATATTAGAAAACAAGTAAGATTGAAAAATATATGTAAATTAGAACATTTTATACTGCAGACTTATAAAGTAGGATTAAGCTATAAAAAATATATTTTAAGCCACAAAATATTGTATTGAGCCAGTAAAAAGTTATGTTGAACTACAAGTCATATTGAGCTGGCAGGCACTCTCTTAAGAGTGCCCAGGTTGCATGCCAATGAGCAACCAGGGGTTGTGACACTTAGTCACAACCTTGGCACGAGTACTTGGTTGAGGTCTTAGCGGCCGGGGCCAGGACGTCAGTGGGGTTCAGTAGGGGGGTAGTTAGGACAAGCTTCTAACTATGTTAGCAATATACTATTAAGGTTTTAAGGGAGCCTTCTCACATTTTTTTTCTATGAGGATGCCAATAACTGCCACTGGAAAATGCTTTTCCCATTTATCCATGAAGTAGACTATTACCTATAAATTATATTAGTACCAGTAAAACTCAAAATCAGTTAGGCAGGACCTACACCAATGCCAGCACCAAAGGCAGTAATACCAGTGGTGAAAAAGGCTGAAATATGCCATCCAATTAATCGCTGCCTGGCCTTCAGCATTGCAAAGTCGATTCTCGTTCCCACCTCTTGTTCATAATAGTCCTATCACCAGAGTCAGCAAGCTGTATAACTACTGTAGATTAAAGGGGGAAAAAAGAAAAAACCTTCAGAAGATTACTCAAACAGTGCTCAACCTCTGAAAGGCGTTCCCATCAGTCGCACCTCGCTATAACGAATGCCAAGAATTCAGGTTTTTTCATTCACTATAGCGAGGTTTTGAACGGAATCCCTTATAACGGGAGCTGTTTGTATGGGAGCAGGGGGGTAGATTCACAGAGCATCTGTTCGTAATAGCGAGGCTTCCCTTATAACGAAATCCATTATAGCGAGGTGTGACTGTATTTAGGAGTTAGGAAATGAAAAGAAAAAAGAAAGCCCAACCGCCTAAGAGGAGAGAGAGAGAGAGAGAAGGAAAAAAAAGGGGGGGGCAAAAGTCAACTTACAAGTCAATCCTTAGTCAATTTGGTTGGTGCCTTGGTTGGTTGGGTGGTTGGCTTAGTTGCTCGGCTTGCTGGCTAATGTATCTCAGGCCGGCCAAGGGTCTCGGGCTGCCCAGCAATCTCAAACCGCCGAGATGTCCCGTACCCATGAGCATCATGGTAAGCTTGGTACGGACCATTGAAGGGAGGGAAGCAGTGCTTCCAGTCGTCCCGTCCGTCCAAGACGGGGTGAGGACGACGAACGACGAGACTGTCTCGTCCTTGGACGGGGTGGACGGCCGTCGACTGCGGACGCGCGGGGTTGCGCGGTGGGACAGATGCTGGTGCCTAAACAAGTTAAGAAATAAAAATTAAAAATAAACATAAAAAAGAGCTGGCGCTTGAGCATCCTACCAGGGGTAGTAGTGGGACTGGCGTCGACGGCCGTCGGACGAGGCTCGTCCTCGTCCAGACGACTGGAAACACTGGAGGGAAGGGAGAGGGAAAAGAAAAAGAAAAAAAGGAAAGGGAAACAAAAAGAAAAAAAGAAAGAAGAAAAAAAAGAAAGGGAAACAGAAGCGAGAGTGGAGGAAAAAAGGATAGTTGGCTGCCAAGGGGATATGCAGAGAGCATCGTGTGATATCCCTCCGGTCAACCGGAGAATCTGAGCCTTCTTGACAAAACCCCCCCAATTCAAGTGCCCCTTCACGATCTGCTGGCAATAGCTAATGGGATGTGTGGTGCGCTTTGTTGTTAGGAGGGGTGGCCTCGTGAGGTTTTATGGCACTCTGCAAGTATGATACCACTGTGATGGGATTTATTTTTTGTGTTTGGGTTATCCGGGGGAAAGAGTATCTGGATGCAGTGCCAAACCTTGTTGGTGATAAATAATACCTGTATGGACGGTTACCTTCATCATGGTTGCTCACTCAGGGAAATCTGATGGAATAGTGTATGGCATGCATGACATGACTCCTTGTGCCTGTAGTCTCGAGATCTGTCCCCCCCCCCATCTCCTCCCACTCCTCATACCGATTTCCTGTCTCCCCTACATATCATACCGCCGTGAAAATGCCTACTCTACACTCCACCGCCCCCCCAAAGCCAGAAGGGGACCGGGCCCGCGTGGCTCTAGTAACTCTCACCTCCCTCTCCCTTGCTATCCCCAACCAACAAACAAACTGACAGCTAAGGCCCTAGCGATCCTAACAACCAAGCCCCCCTTCCTCTCTATCAAAGACTACCTGCATCTCCTCCGCACCCACGCTGCTCCCTCATCCCGCCGACACCTACACACCTCCGCCTTCTGGCACGGAGAAGCCGCAAAGCATGCAGCACGGGTAGATTACCTGCAGACAAAACTCCGTGAAGCCGAGTCCTCCCTCTCCCCCGCCTCTTTCGCATCTCATACGCACACGGAACGGGACTGGGAAGCTTTTCGAGATGAAGGAGGGGAAGGAGAGGGGGTCCTTGATCTTGTTTCGGCATTGAGGATAATGAAGTGCGCGGTTGGCCCTGCTGAAGTGGCTGCCTCAGTGAAGACAGTTAGTGGGGCGTTGGGGGGCGTGGTGTCGTCTCTTGTGAAAGGGAAGAAGAAGCCAGTACCTCCCACCCGTCATAGACGTGGCGGGCGAGGGAGAGGAGGGGTGCAGAAAAGGAAAGGTAAGAAGAAGAGTGGGGGTGGTGATGGGAAGAGGGATGATAGTGAGGTTATATCCGCGATTGAGTCTACGCTTGAGAAGGTAGTATCCGCGCTGCGGGAGTTGGGAAATGGACCGGACGGGGATGAGGGGAAGGATGGTGGCAGAAAGGAGTATACCACAACTGCCGCATGTGCAGTGATAGAGATGTTGACAGGATTGGTCAATTCAATTTATACCAACTCCCAGGCACTTTCTTCCGCTGGTGGCCCCGCGGGGCCCGCTGGAGAGGGTGTACTGGAAGCCAGAGATCTGCGTCTGGGTATCTGCAACGCCGTTATCCAAACCCTATCTTCTCTCGATTCTGGAGTACCCACGGAAGCGAGTGTGACTGAAGGCGTGATGTGCCACCTTCTTGAAGGTGCCGGGAGGATTCTTTCCGCCAACGGACGTGAAGGCGTAGATGTGAAGGAAACAGGTTGGTACCTTATCAAGATGCTCAAGGAGATCCTCCCCTTGTACGATAACCTGGAGGAGAGCGGGCTGGGTAAGAGGAAGAGAGATGAGCTGAGGAGGGTTTTCATGAGTGGGGTGTTTGGGACTGGGCTTGGGCTTGCAGGACATGAAGAGGGGACCGGCCAGAGCGAGGATCATAACAATGTGGATGGGGTTCTGGCTTCACCCTTTACTAAGGCTATTTGGGGATTGATGGGGTGGAGTGTGTTTTCTGCTGGTGGGCTTGGTAGTGGATAATTATGTCTGGCTTACTGTTTTCTGATATATAAATGGGAATACCGAGAGCAGAACAGGATTTCACGCCACAAAGAACGGAATTGGGAGCGTTAAAAGGTAATCTTTCATTGCCGCAGGAATAGATAAGGGGTATCATGATCATTAACAATCACTCGCCCATTCTAGGTGGGGAGTGAAAGTAATGAGACTAAACCTAACAGAAAAGTGTGAACTAACTCATTCATATCGACAACCGACCCCATAGGTCTGGCCGGCGAGGTTGGGGTTTGTCCCGTCACAAATACGTTTGTGCCAGTCTATGCTCCAAGTAATCCCAAGAATTTATACCAGGAAATTTCTTGTCCGCCTCGGAAGTATACGTTCCCGGGATGGCCTCAATGAACTTGTCAAAGTTTGGGTTGCAAAAGTACCTGTTACGGCATTGTCTCATGTCAGCGTTCCTTTCCCAAGTGATATTGCTGCGGGTAGCGTACGCGCAGGAGTAGCGAGCAGGGTAAACGTCCGATTCGGGCGGAACCGGCGGTTCAACGACTTGATGCTCAGTGGAACGAATCCTGCCATTGGACCAACGAGCCAGGAGGTCACCTGCATTAATTACGACTAAACAAGAATTCAGTCAGGATTTATGAACGTGTGAGCAAGGTTAACCCAAAGCTTACTTGTCCCAGGAATAGGCGTAGCGTTAACGAACGTCCCCTCTGGGCTACGGACTTGGAGTCCCCCGCGGTCATCCTGGGCCAATTAGATAGGGCGCATACTGATAGAGCGAGGTGATGAAGAAAGGCGAACAAACCTGAAACAAAAGAGTAATGGTCCCATAATCTGTATGCTTCCCAGCACGCACCTGGCCCTTGTTCTTCACAAAGACCTCTTTAGGAGTGCTCGGGTAATGCAAGAGCCTGAGAGTATTATCCCCCTTGTTTGTGTACTCGTCGAAGAATCCGTCTTTAAGACCCAGACCCAACCCGATAGCACGCATGATCTCTATGTGCAGGTCTTTGCAAGTGCCGAAGAAGGCCTTCATGATTGCGACAAAATTAGGGTCTTCTGGCCAGTTGTTTGGATACTCAGGTACGTTATCCCTCCCAATCTCAAATGATTCTTTGAGGTCGGGATTGACGGTGCGGAGGGAGTCGACGAATGCCTTGTCTTGGACTGCGGAGGTTTTTTCGCGGCCGTGAGACACGTAGCCACGGTTGGACCGGGCGCTTGTCTGAAGTGATCACCAGCCCATATAAGTTGGTGGGACAGCGGAGGGGGGGGGGGGGAGTTGTAGTAGCGTAGTGAAATGATTACCCATGCCAAAGCTTCCTTCTCAGCTTTAGGTCTCTTAAAAAACGCGGCCGATTCAGCAAACACTTGGTCGATTTTCTCCTGGGGAATCCCGTGGTTCTTGATATATCTGCCAGGTTTTACTTGTTCAACAACAATGCCCAGAGCTAAGACGCCCAGGGAAGCTGAGGGGCAAATTACACGAAGCCAGCGTTTTTGAAAGCGTCTACCATGCCCTTTGCAACCGTCTCCTTTTCCTCCTTTTTGCCGTGAAGGAAGAGGGAGAAATCAATGAGCTGTCGGTGCGTAAAAACCGACTTAGTATAATTTATCAACTCAGTGGATGGGGGTGGAGGAAACACTATACCGCAATAAACAAACTGTCCTGATCGACAGCCGTGCCGACAGCATTAGAGGACGCCATTTTGCACTTGAACAGAATTGTTTCTGGACCAGAGGATAGAGTGAGGGGGGATGTGGGTGTTGGAGGAAGTATTGAGTGTTTGTTTGGGTGGAGTGTCCCGGGGGAAGAGGGGAGAGAGCGGATGGCTTCTGTTTTTTAGGATAAGTTAGACCCGTGCGCGGCGCCCTGGGTGAGGTGACTAGGCTAGTAGTCTACCCCAAAGAAAGAGAAAGTTCCTTGCTTATCGATAGCACCCGGGAAGCGGGGAGTTTCGGTCGGCATCTTCCGTTTCATCGCAGATCCCCGCCTATCCGAGCACCCGAAGGGCCAAGGGTGCAGCGAGTCTAAGTATAGTACTCGTATGATACTGTGCTTGTAGACTACTGTACGAGTACAGCCCAAGTGCTGTACTGTACTGTACAAAAGCAAGCACAATACCGCTGCACCGTACTACTCGAATACCCCTCGCCCCCGTCTCTTCTTTTCGCACATTCTCAAGTTCCCTTCTTGCAGAGATATTAATTTCTACCCGCGGGTTCGGGATATTCGCCGCAATTACTATTCCCGATTAGCCGCTTTGCTGTAGATCACCTTGGCCAACGCCTTTTTACTCCCTCCCTTTCTTTCTAGTAACACCAATTCTTTTCAATACAAGGTCCGACATTCGCGATGCCTATCGTCGATATCCACACACATGTATACCCACCTTCATATATGGAGCGTATGTACAGTGCCTTCCTGCCCCTTGCGATCTCGTGTCCTAATGGAAAATCCTGCAGTCCTCAAGTCCCGCTCCACAGTCCCCTATGTCCGCTCAATCCCTCCTACCAACTCCCCGAGGCTCTTTGTTTTGCCCAGCGAAGATCCCCCCAGTACAACATCCACAGGCCGTCCTATTGGTCCCGAATACTATGATATATCCCAGAAGATTGCCTTCATGGACACACATAATATTGATATCTCCGTAATCTCGTTAGCGAACCCGTGGCTGGACTTCCTCCACTCGTCCGGCGCCGCAGCCGCGGCGGAAGCGTTGAACAACGACCTCAGCGCCACATGTGATAAGTTTCCGGGCAGACTATTCGCCTTCGGTGCCCTCCCTATGTCCGCTTCCATTGAAGAGATCGTGTCTGTGATTAAGCGGTTATCCGGGATGAAGTACATGCGCGGGGTAGTCATGGGCACAAGCGGATTGGGGAAAGGACTCGATGATGAGAGATTGAATGGAGTTTGGGCGGCGCTGGAAGAGACTGGGCAAACCGTGTTTTTGCACCCGCATTATGGCTTGCCGAAGGAAGTGTATGGACCTACTGGTGGGGAAGAGTACGGGTTTGTCCTTCCTCTAGCATTAGGGTTTCCGCTCGAGACCACGATTGCTGTGTCTAGGATGTTGTTGTCAGGGGTTTGGGACCGATATCAAGGATTGAGCGTCTTGCTTGCGCATAGCGGGGGCACGCTACCGTTTCTTGCAGGCAGGCTGGAGAGCTGCATTGCGCATGACGGAAAACTGCTCAGAGAGGGCAAGATAGCCAATCGCCGGACGGTGTGGGATGTTCTGCAGAAAAATATCCTCCTCGACGCGGTCGTGTACTCGGAAGTCGGTCTCAAGGCGGCCGTGGATGTCGCGGGTGCGGACAGAGTCCTCTTTGGCACTGACCACCCATTCTTTCCACCGCTGGAGAAGAATGTGGAGCAAGAGAGGTGGCCGAGCGTTACGACAAACTATAAGGCCATCAAGGACGCTTTTGGCCCCGGGGAGATGGAGAAGGTGGAGGGTGTGCTGGGCGGGAATGCTGTGAGATTACTACGGTTGGAGGTCTAAGCTGGGGGGCGGTTACATGGATTGTCACTCGTTGGCAGAACTTGGTGACTGTTGGAGGTCACACAGAAAAGCCCGCAGTGGAAGTACAAAGTGATGGGACTGATCAAGAAATGAGAGAAAGAGAAAGACGGTTGTTCTTCTTGTTCTACAGATACATCTCAGATTGCCATACTTATAGCAATTTGTGGCATGAATATACATCGATGTGACTCCAGTCATTTCCTAGGTCCGCAAGTTCCAAGTGGCCCAACAGCCGGCCCAACATATCCGCACTACTCATCATATTGGGGTAACACTTCCAACAGTAACTGGGGGACCGGGTGACGGCGGCTGGATTCTAGCTTCTGCAGATTTCGTAGACAAATATAGAAACACTTGAAACTTTGAATGACATATGCTATCACAATTTGAGGTGAACGTGCGCGGCTACTGAGAAAATTGAATAGATGGCCCGAGTAAACACAGTCGAGTTTCCAGGCTCTAACGGGGTAAAAAGTAGTTTTGTTAGTCATAGGATACAGTCCAAGCGCAAAAAAAAAAACACTGCAGTCACGGGTTCACACTACGGACCTTGAGCACCTATATACATCTGGGCAAGATACCGGCATGTAACTCCCACCAACTTACATCCATCAACAGGTTCGTTAGCAAGCATCATACTAAATACCCCGAACAATGGGAATCGCATATACCACTTCTGGACGGCACTAGCGACGACAGTTTGCCGAAGCCATCCCATCCAGCTGGAAAGATCTCAAGTGATGCCGTTAGGAAATGCCAATGGGGGGAGGGAGTTTGCTCACTGGGCGAAGTATTTTTTTATATGATTTCCCCATCTACTCCGTGGTGGTATGATACCTTTACCACAGTTATCCCCGGTCGACACCATCACACTGTAACGTCATAATACCCCTGAAATATCTACTCCCTCTATCACTCAATTTGGTGGTGGTAGGGGGTGGGAGAGAGAAAGGTGGTTAGGTCCGAGAATATAGCCTAACTACCAAGAACACACAGTAAAGGGCTGAATTACTGGTTTCTTGGGGGGGTCTCACCAAGTTAATCGCGAACGGGCTTTACGAGTATGATACATCGCGCTGAGATGGGTACCCCACGAGTAGATACGGTACCGGTAGGAGGGATGGCACACCTACATAATGCCCATATTTGTTAGAGACATTCCGACCCGGTTAATTCTGAGCACGACGCTAGAGCACGCTATAATATCGTATCGTGCTACCATGCGGGAGAGAGCACAATAATGCAAAATTTAGGTGGGACGATATATGGGCTCTACGATATATGGGCTCTTTTTCGTGAAGTACTCGCTTTATCACTAGTGCGCTATTGCCCCATCGGCACAGCCATAGCTTTCCCCGGAATTTCTAATAATAATAACAGGAAAACGAGGTCTAAATTAGGTTTCTGCTAAGTACGCCACTTTGGGAGCTAGTGGGCACTGACTAAACTATATATTCCATCTGACTGTTCCATCCTCACTCACACTTCTACCCCATCCGAGGGCGTGCCATTTTTTATTTTTCCTTTCGCCTGCAATATCTCCCCTCTAGGAACCAACCAACCCACCGGTCCCCAAGGAGAATGGTTCTTTCTTTCTTACTTTCTTTCTTGCGGTGCTAGAGAGAGCATTCTCCTCTAGCATACCATAATATTTCTCGTCATACCATATTCTTAGCACTATTATACAAGTGCTATCACTATTTTTAACATACCGGCACAGTCGAGAAGGAAAAAAGATAGAAGAGAAAAAAAAATAGACAAGGGCAACCACAAGAGTTACCAAGAGCCCCCAACTTACCTTAGAGCATCATCTGGCTGTGGCAAACTACATTAACGAGGCAATTTTCGGATGTGCCATCTCGAGCAGGGGACCGGAGGGAGGAGGGGTGGGGCAATTGATGGGAGAAGATAAATCACCGACAGCAGGGTCCCTAACTCAATCGCGACGGGAATATCGGTGAGAGGGGAAAGGATTCAGAAGCGAGTATTGGATCGCTCGATTATGGCAAAAGTTCCTTCCGGGAAGTGTGCAATTATAAGAGCGTGATATGAGTGTCGCATGTTCCTGACTTGCGATAGCCTCCTCATTCGGGGTGTTGTGCCAGACTTCAGAATCGGGCGTGATGAGTTATTATTATGACAAACTGCTGATAGTTCCCGTTGCGGTTGCCAAAGGACGAGTGATCGGGGGTGAAAGATGGAACCACTTGCACCATACAATAGAGGGTTTGCGCAATCGGACCTAGGTGCCAGTAAAATCCATTAACATAATAATATGTTATACTAAAGATAACAGGCACCCGGGTCTGCAGAAGTACCCGGTCAGGGTCTACATAGTAGATTTAGACATCTGAAGAATTTTGCAGGGTAATTGATGAAGTAGTCCTAAAAAGAAAGAAAAATTATGACAAATGCCATAATGGATACTCTGATGATAAGCAAGAGCCAATTCAATAAAACAGTTATATTAATCCTCATTTACAAAAGGGTCTACGATGTCTAAGTGTAGTACCACATCTAGTCAAGAAGCAAGTGGTACAAAACTAGCACTCAAAATAGAACTAGTATTTAGAACAGAACAAGGGCTGAGGACAGAACCTACGGTTCAAAATGTACAAAGGCTGAGTAACTTGAAGGGAAGAGCAGGGAAGTGGGCAGGTTGGATGGATCATGTTCTAGTTCATTAGACTCTTACAATAGATCCAGTCAACTGTGGATGGGGAAAAACTATTGCAAAATGGGCAGAGATAGCAGAAATTCTTCAGAAGTTAGAGCCATAAGTGATTCTGCAAAGTCTAGAGTCCTGTTGCCAACAAATTAAAAAGCTACTAGTTAAGATATATAATATTAGTATATATTTAAATTAATTTAAAGGAAAAGATAAACTAATATAAATCACAGATAGTAAAGCTTGACTTGCTTTACAAAAGCAGTTCAAATAAAGAGTTTACCAAATTTGAACTCAATATAGTTGAGTTAGCAACAAGGTGGAACTAAGGTAGTACTTATTCTAAGATACAGGGAATAGCACAAGAGACTGAAGACAGTTTAATTAGAGTAAGATAGTAAGCAGGTGATAGAGAATTTGATATATAGGTTAGTAAGGGCAGTAGAGGAAGAGTCTGAAGATACTGAACCTTCAACTAAAAAGCTGAAATATATTGCTATTAAGAACATTGAGAAGGTAATGAAGAAGCTTGTAAAAGGTATGAAGAAGAATAAGAAAGAACTAAAAGAGTTGGAAAAAAAGTAAGACAAAAAATATGAGAATTTATTAGAAGATACTAGTACTATTTTCTTAACAAATAAGATAAAAGAACAAAGTAAGTATTAGTCTTATGATGCTTTTTTAAAGTGTAAAGTAAGGAAAGAAGAGCTGAAAATAATTTTAAAGTTATTAAAATTTTGAACAAGTGGTAGAATAGCTGAGACAATGGTGAATAAATAGAGATTGTATAGCAATAAGCCAATTAAAGGTAAGCTAGTAATAGGCTATGAAATAAAATAATGCCAAGCTCACTCACATGAAGGAATTGTACAGCTCATACTAGCTAGAAAAAAAAAACTTCTCTTTCCTACTCTCTCTTACTCTCCAACTATTATATACATATTAACTAACTAACTAATAGTTTTGACCAGAGTATATATAAACCACAAGTGATAAAGAATAAAATCCTATTACTCCTACCTCCTCTCCGGTAAGTCCCTCAGATTTGAGTAAATATAAACTAACTAGTAAAAGGCAAACTCATGGCTCCCCTCCTAGGTAAGTCTCCTATATATATGAAAATAAGAAAAGCTAATAAAGGAAACTTGAAGACAAACTTATATTCTTGCTGTGTGCCTTTCTACCATACTCTTCTTGCTGAGCTTTTCTGTCACACTCTCCTTTCACTGTACTTCAAGTTTCTTCTATCATACTCTCCTACTATATATATATCTTCCTCTAGTACCTTCTCAGACTCTTCTACCATCATAATCTCTCCTACACTCTTTCTCTATATACTCTCTCCTGCTCCTTCTTTATATGCTCTTCTATGCTCTCCCTAGTACTGCCAAAGCACTCTACCAATAATAAAACAAACAAGTAAACTACAGAGAAGAAGAAGGAGGAAGAGAGAAGAATTAGAGACTGAGGGAATAGGAAATAAAGAGGAAGAAAAAGGTAGTGGGAGTAGGAAAAAGTACAAGCATGCTTAGCAGCATCTTGCCATTTCCAACATAACAAAAAATAGAGAGATTTACAATTGTAGAAATATTTATTATCTATTTCTTCTTTTATTGAAAAAAAAAATAATACCATAAAAACTCGAATAATTGGACGGCACAAAAAGAGGTTAAAATAAGGTGTGGAAACACGGAAATTGCATAAAGCTGGAAATCATGCCAAAACTAGCAGCTTTCACAGATTATCAAACAATGCTCTAGTCTAAAGAAGGAAAATGCTGGACCTTAGAGTTGTTTGATAATCTGCAAAATCT